TGGTGTCCACAGGAAACCCAATGATGCTCAGCTACCGAAGAGCATCAATCCACCTGTGAGCCTAAGAGAGACCTAGAGCCCTAACTTCCAAGAGGAAACAGCCACTAGAGAAGTAATGCTGATCACAGGGAAACTCTGGGCAGTCTCTTCCATGCCCATCTCTGCTACTTCAATCCAACTCCTCCTACTGGGGAAGCAATTATTTGGTTTCTGATGGGTAGAGGTTCCAACCAACCAGCATCTAGCTTTAAGCTTCTCAAGCCCTTTCTCATCTTATTCATTAGTCAATATGGTTGTAGTTCTTGTTGGGGGTGCTGTGCCGTGAAGTTGGTTCTGAGTCATAGCAACCCTGCATATGGTTTCCGAGGCCGTAAGTCTTTACAGGAGCAGAAAGCCTCATCTTTCTACCATGGAACAGGTGGTAGTTTCAAACTGCTGACCTTGATGTTAGCAGCCCGACTCATAACTATTACCATACCAGAGCTCCTTAGACGATATGGTTAGGACCAACAAATACCATTAAACTATTTGCTGGTAGAGAAGGGCAGCATGTGTGCCCTGGCTAACACGTTTTGTGGCACATATGTGATCACTTCTGGTAAAGTTGAGACTAGGGTCTTACATATCCTATAGCAAAGAGAGCCCAGCCACAGGGAAGCCAGAGAGCCAAACCAAGTTATTTTCTGCTAAGAAGCTCTGGTAGCATAATGGTTATGAATTGGGCTGCGAACCACAAGGTCAGCAGTTCAAAACTATCAGCTGTTCCATGGGAGAAAGCCTCATCTTTCTGCTCCCGTAAAGATTTACAGCCTCGGAAACCCTGTACAGGGCCGCTATGAGTCGGAACTGACTCCACCGCACATAACCACCACCATAACCACAGAGCTTTCCATCCCTTTAAAGCTTTCAGTGGCCACTTTATTTCCTTTAACCTTTGGCTCATGCAAACTCAATTTTACTGTTTAAATTTATATCCTCAAGACTACAGCAGTTTCCAAACTAAATTTTATCATTATGCAAGGTTTCCAGACTATCCCAAAGGAAGAAGCCCCCGAGGCAGAGGTTGGTGAGAGATGTCTATTCTGCCAGGCAAGACGTGCTCAGCTTGCAGGAGTCACAGAAGCAGAGACCTCCATCCATGCTCCCATGAAGAATTATGAGTGTGAATTCTCTCAAGAGGGAAGTGAGGTAGGAGGAGAAGTGGGATTAAAATCCAGAAATTAGGATTAAACATAAACAATTATTGACGAAATAATAAATCTTGAGGAATGTTGAGGATGGTGCCTCTCACTGTTTGAGCGATTGTAAAGAAGTATAGGACACATGGAGTCTTGGTGTGGTTCTGTGGGTTAATGTGTTGGACTGCAAAGTCGGCGGTTCAAGCTCACCAGTTGCTCCTTGGAAAGTCTATCTATATAGATTTCAAATGAGTTCCGAGTTTATATAGACTCAGAACTCATTTGACGACACTTAATAACAAAAACATAAGACACATTCAGGCTGCATAGCTGAGCAACCACATCCTGAGATGTGCCATTATGAAAAACTACCCATAAAAATTCCACATTGTACTCCATTGTGAAATGGGACATGACAATGCAAAGGCTTTTGATCATGTGGATCATGACAAACTATGGATAACATTGCAAGGAATGTCACCCATTTTGTTTGGATTCACCAACACTCACTGAAGCAGCAGTAAAGAAATCAAGTGACGTATTGCGTTAGGCAAATCTGCTGCACAAGACCTCTTTATTTTTTTTTTAAGTGTTCTAGAGTAAAGATACCAGTTTGAGGATATTGGTGTACCTGATACAAGCCAGGGTATTTTCAACTGTCTCTTATGCAAGGGAAAAATTGGGAGCATTAATAAGGAAGACTGTAGAAAAATTGATGATTTGAATTATGATATTGGAAAATAATACTGAAAGTACCATTGACTGCCAAAAGAACAAACAAATCTGTGTTGAAAGAAGTGCAGCCAGAATGTTCCTTAGAAGCTATGATGGTGAGACTTTGTCTCTCATGCTTTGGACATATTGTCAGGATGGACCAGTGCCTGGAGAAGGACATTATGCTAGGTAAAGGGGAGGGTCAGCAAAAAAGAGCCCCAATGAGATGGACTGGCAGAGTGACAGCAGCAATGGGCTCAAGTGTAACAATTTTGAGGCTGGCACATGACAGGGCCATGTTTCATGCTTTTGTGCCTACAGCCCCTATGCGTCAGAACCAACTTGATAACAAGACATGCATCAAAAGAAAATGACAAAATACAGAGTCACTGCACCAAAAAAGAAATGGCTAATGTTCAACCATTTCAAGATTCAGAAAATTATCAACAGCTGATGGTACTAAAGGAAGAAGTCCAAGCTGCATTAAAGACATTGATGAAAAACAAGGTTCCAGAAACTGATGGAATACAACCTGAAATCTTGCAACAAACTGATGATGCACTAGAGGTGCTCACTCACCTTTGCCAAGAAATATGGAGGAGATCCAGATTTGTGTCCATTCCAAAAGAAAGACAACACAACAGAATGTGGAAATCATTGAACAAAATCATTATATTACCTAAAAGTAAAAATTTTATGGAAGTAGAGATATCATTGCTGATGTCAGATGGATCACTGTTGAAAGCAAAGAATACCAGAAAGATACTTACTTGTGCTTTATTGACTATGCAAAAGTTTTTGACTGTGTGGATCAAACTATGGGTAACATTGTGAAAAATGGGTATTCCAGAACACTTAATTGTATTCATGAAGAATCTTCACATACACCAAGAGGTAATTGTTCAAACAAAACAAAGGAATACTGAATGGTTTAAAATCAGAAAAGTTGTGTCTCAGGGTTGTATCCTTTAACCATACTTATTCAATCTGTATGCCAAGCAGAGTCCTAGTGGGGTGCTGTGGGCTAATGCATCAGACTGCAGTCATTTGAACTGCAAGGTTGGTGGTTCAACCTTGCCAGCTGCTCCTTGGAAACCCTATACAGGATTGCTAGGGGTTAGAATCTACTGGACGGCACTAAACAACAACAATGCTGAGCAAATAGTCCAAGAAGCTGGATTATAAGGATTGGAGGAAGACTCATAAACAACCTGTCACATGCAGAGATTCATCCTGGCTTTCTGGATGGGAAGTGGACTGAAAATACTAATTGATGAAGATAAAAAACATTAGCTTTCAGTATGGATTGTACCTCAACGTAAAGAAATCACAAATCCTCACAACTGGACCAATAAATAACATAAGTGAAGAAAAGATTGGAGTTGTCAGACTTCATTTTGCTTGGACCTACATCATCATTCATGGAAGCAGCAGTCGCAAAATCAAATGACACAGTGCATTAGGCAAATCTGCGGCACAAGACCTCTATAAAGTGTTCAAGAGCAAAGATGTCAGTTTGAGAAATATGGTGCATCTGACCCAAGCTATGGAATTTTCAATAGCTTCATATTCATGCAAATGTTGAACAGTGAATGAGAAGATGGTAGAATTGATGCATTTGAGTTATGGTGTTGGAGATTGTTAAAAGTACCATGGACTGGCAGAAGAACAAATCTGTGCTGGAATAGGTACATCCAGAATGCTTCTTAGAAGCCAGGATGGCCAGACTTGCTCTCTCATACTTTGGACATGTTATCAGCAGTGGGCATGTTTGACAGGGTGTTTGATAGGGTGGAGGGCCAGTGACATGGAGGAAGACCCTTAACGAGAGGATGTGCACAGTTACACCAGCAATGTGCAATTCTGAGGAAGGTGCAGGACCGGGCAGTGTTTTGTTCTGTTGTGCATTGGTTGCTAAGAGTTGGAGATGACTGGTAGGCACCTACCTGATAACCACAACAGTAGGATGTTTTACAGGCCTGACTGGTTTACCCAGTGCTCTGGGCATAACTTTAAAGGACTACCTCCTACCAGGGCAGAAGAGATCAGCCCCTGACAGGGGTTTAATCCAAGTTTCAAAAGAACCATGCATGATCAAAATTGGCCAGTTAGTCTGCTCCTGCCAGAGGCCTTTGTAAAGGAGTCCTTCTAAAGGAAATATTGCTTATGCTCAATTAGCATGGCCTCTTCTTGGAAATTCTCACTCACTCCTAAGAATAAACATAATGCATTTTCCCACCTCAAACCTTTTAAACTCCAGCAAGGACTCAGTTTAGGATGGTTAGGGTTAGTGTTGCCTAAGGGACCAGTCAGAAGGGACCAGTAGCTGGAAGATAGCACGTTTGGTAACGTGGAGAGTCAGAGAAAAAGAGGAAGTCCTCCAATTAGATGGATTGGCAATATGGGCTCAAGCATGGCAGCAATTGTGAGATCGGCCCAGGACCGGGCAGCGTTTCATTGTTGTGCATAGGGTCGCTATGAGTGGGTACCGACTCGATAGTACATAACAACAAGGGCATTCCTGGTCTCTCTCTCAGAAGTGGTGAGATGGGAACTCCAGGACACAATGTGGTAAGTGATTATGACCCTGCTGCCCTAAACGCTTGCTTGATCTCTCAGGCCGTCATCCTGAGAAATGTTTCGGACAGAGACCCAATATCGGGAGGCTCTGCTCTCGCCTGGGCGCTGGGGATATCCCTTGGTGCGGATCCAGACCCATCAAGCCAGGGCTCTAGCATCAGCACTTTGTTCCCTGGTGCAGTGGTTCAGGGCGGGTCTCCACTCCTCCTTGGGAATCGAGAAGGCTTCCTCCATCGTGCCGTAGACGACAGTGAGTCAACAAACTGGTACCCAGCCTGGCCAGTCCCAAGATGGCGACAGATACTGTATGACTCCGCGGAGATGTCCGCTTCCCAAAAGCTCCTGCGCCAGCGGCAAAGGCAAACGGAAGGGGCGGGCCCAGAGCGGCAGCGAGCTAAGCGCGGCCCCGCCCCAGAGACTCTCGCGAGCCCACGCCAGGCCAGGCCGCGCGCGGTGCCTGCTGGGATACTTGGCCCGCCCACCGAATGCTCCCAGCTTGCGCGGTAGCCGCGAGATCCGCGTTTTCCTCAAGATGGTGGCGCTGGGGTCGGGGTGACTACGGAAGACGACAGGGCCCTTACGCCTCTCCGCCAGGATCCCGACACCCCGCCCTCCGCTCGCTCGCGCACTCCACCGCCGCGTAGGCAGCCGCCGGCCCGGGCGCTCGCCACCCGCCCTTGCCGCGACTTGCGCTTCACCTCTGTCGACCCGGCACTCTTGGCCGCGGGCGGCGGCGCCTCCTCTGATTTGTTCGCAGCCGAGCTCCGGCTGGTGGGCTCCTTCTCCGGGTTTGGACTGGGAGCGGCGGCTGGAGACGAGCGCGGGACCTCTGCGGCCACGGCGTCTCCTTGGCTGGCCTTGGGCTCGGGAGAAGGAAGCGTGGGTCCCGCATGACCCTCGGCGGTGGCGCCAGCGAAGGGGAAAGAGGCGGTGGCGGGCCGAGGCGGCGGGCTAGGGCGACGACATCCAGTGAGGCGGCCTCCGCTGCGAGGGCCACGGCCCAGGCGCGTGGGCGAAGGCAGGTCAGTGTCTCCGCGGCCGGGCCTGCCCCGGGTCGGGCGGGTGGAGCGGCCCTTCCTCTCTCGGCCCAATGCGGGCGCTCTCGGACAGGGACGGGGGCCTCCCGGGCCCGGGCGAGCGTCTGCGGGCTCATGGCCTGCAGGGGCCTCTGGTGGCCACTTCGCCGCCGCCGTAACTGTCAGTTCTGGCTGCGCCCCGGCCGGAAGGCGGCGGGGCCAGGCCGGGCGTCCGTCCGGCAGGGGTCGCTTCGATCCTCCGCGAAAAGGGCTTTTTCTTCCAACGGGAGCCGTTTTTGGCGTGTTCGCGGCTCTTGGTTCTTTGGAAGATGTAGGCCTGTGCCTGGTAAGCTGGACAAGGTTGGTGTCAGGATGTCGGTTCCCTGGGCTGTGCGCGCAGGGAACCCGTGTGCGCCCCGACTCGCTGGGTTTCTGGAGTTGACTGTGAGCTCGCAGGTTCGCCCGGCTGTGCTAACTGCAGCTCTGCAAACAGCTATCACTTGGTGGTCGCCCACATCCCTTTTTTCTTTATTTTTAAATTTTTATCCCTTCCCACTTTTTAATTTGAGTATACGCAAAGGAAACTTCCCTCCTCTTTTTGGTGGTGATTTTTGTCGGTAAAGCAAAAAAAACAAAAGTGAATGTGCCAAGTGGCTTAGTCTACATAGCTTAAAAAAAATGTTTTAATAGAGACAATTTGGTTAAATTTAGAGATAATGTAACTCTGAATTAAAAAAAAAATACATGGATGTAATAAAACAAACAGACAATCCGTTTGGGGTTATATTTATGAGGTGGCTGCGTTTTGTGCTTAAATGCCCTCGAGTCGGTTCCATCTCAGAGAGACCCAACCTAGGGTTTGCGAGGAACAGCTGGTGAGTTTGCACTGCCGACCTTGTGGTTCTAAGTCTAGTGCTGATGCTCCAGCGCCACACCGAGTTCAACAAGTGGCTGTTGTTAAGTGCCATCGAGTTGGTTCAGACCTGTAGTGACCCTTAGGGTTTCCAAGGAGCGGCTGGTGAACTGAACCGTCGACCCTGCGGTTCAAACTGACCTTGCAGTCCAGCGGTTTAACCCACAGCGCCACACCAGGTCCCTATCAAAGGGCTAGGCTGTTAAAAACGTAAACTAATAGCATGTGGTATTCACAATGAAAAGCTTCCCTCAGTAAGGTCAGGACCCATACTTTTGTATCGTTCCTTTGGCTGTAATGTAGAGAAAAGTAGCAACTATTTTTAGGAGCGGGTGAATGGGGCTTGAAATAGAAATGACTTAAAGTTTAATACGAAACTATTAAAATGTTACATGTCAAAGATACTATTGGTGTTGTTAAGTGCCATGGAGTAAGTTAAACGAATTGCTGTCCTGTATAGGGTTTTTGAAGCTGTCAATCTTGGTAGGAGCAGAAATCCTCATGTTTCTTGTGCAGAGTGGCTGGTGGGCTCTAACTGCCAATTTTGTTATCCACAGTCCAGTGCTTTTTTATGGAGCAACCATACTCCTCCAAGAGACTCAACAAGATTTATAGGTACTCAGTAAATCTTGTTTTAGTGGACTGGACAAACGGAATGAGAAGTGCTTTCCTCATATCGCTAAGAAATTAGTATTACTATTTTAAGAAAGTTTAGAAATACAGGTAAAGTTTTGTCATAGTATAGATAGTGGAACGGTTGTTATTGTTCAGGGCCCGGTCCGACCCATAGCAACCCTGTATAGCTTTTCTGAGGAGTGGCTGGTGAGCATGAACCACTGACTTTGTGGTTCAAACCGACTTTGCAGCCCAGTACCATAACCCACAAGGAGCTCTGGTAGTGTAGTGGTTAAGAATCGGGCTGTGAACTGCAAGGTCAGCAGTTTGAAACTACCAGCTGCTCGGCAGGAGAAGGATGAGGCTTTCTGCTCCTGTAAAGATTTACAGCCTCGGAAACCCTGTACAGGGTCGCTATGGGTCGGAACCGACTCGACGGTACTTAACAACCACCTTAACCCACAGAGCCACACCAGGACTCAGTAGTAGAACCAGACCTTTTAATAAACTCTAAGATACTTCTCACATTTTAAATGAAACCTGAGGAGAAGTCAGAAAGTACTATTAGGGTTCTGGTGGAAATCCGTGGATATGGCTGCAGACAAGTTTGCACAGTTACACACTTGTCTTGGTCATGTTGGAATGCCTTTGGAAGAATGGTCCTATCAAAACAGTGGCTTCTGAGGGAGTCAGCTGGCCAATTAAACCAAGGTGGAAAGGTCATCTCAGAAGAGTACAGCACTTTTTTTTTTGAATTCCAAAGGGGTAATCTTGATTAGTAATCCTGGCATGACATTGCAGGATAAGCACTGGACTCTTAACCTCAAGGTCCACATTTCAAAACCCACTAGCAGCTCCTTGGAAACCTTATACAGGGTCACTAGGAGGTGGAACTGACTTGATGGCGCTTAACAAATTTATCTTGATGGACACAGGAGTATCATGGTTTATAAAGAAGTTTTAAGAAAATTTAAACTTTGCATTGGTGAAGAAAAGGGCCAGGAAAGTTGTGGCAAGGAATTTTTTTCCTTTACCACAGGTCAGTGTGTCTTCTCATTCTTTGAGTGTAGAAAAGGCTTTCTTATGAGGATTTCGTTGGGAAACTTTAACTCCACAGCCCTGGTCTTTGCCTTTGAGACTTATTTTTGCTTCTAAAATGCAAAAGAACATTTCAAAGAAATCTGATTTGAGTCTCTCCAGGATTCCCAAACTGCTGTAAATCAGTGCAGAATTCTTTGGGGGAAGGGTTGGAGAGATGGGAACATGGTCTCCTGAAGTGTGTAGATGTAGTTGGAGGATAGGTCAAGAAACAGTCGCTTCATAATTTGATAGTTTTGTGTCCTGGACTATGGGTTAATGCTCCAGGCTACGGAGCCATGTGAACTACAAGGTCGTGGTTTAAACTCACCAGTCACTCCTTGGAAACCCTATATAGGTTTCTATGGGTCAAAGGATAACAGGAAACTGTAAAAACACAAACAGGAAACAATGACTACAAAATTGGAATGCAAACTTTGAAAGTTTAAATTGTGTCAGTATTAACTATAATTAGTGTGCTGCTAAGTGCATTGTATGCTGTCATCTAGACATTGCCGCTTCCCTCAGGAATTCACACACACACACACACACACACACACAAAACATACAGTGTTTTCTTTTAATGGTTTTGTAAGCTACTTTATTTTCTCCTAAATTCTATACTTTTTTCGTATGGCTTAAGAAATAATTTCTTATGAAAGTGTATGTTAGAGATGTGAGGAAAATAATTCTCATTCCACTTGGGATGAGATTTATTGAGTATTGAAGCATAAGGTCTGCAGTTCAAACCCAACAGTTGCTCCTTGGAACCTGTAATCAGGGTCACTGTGAGTCAGACCGACTCAGTGGCACTTAACAACAACAACAACACCACAGAGTTCAGGTGTGGCGCTTAAGGATAAACACTGGACTGCTAACCACCAGGTTGGCAGGTCAAACCCATCAGCCACTCCTTGGAAACCGTATACAAGGTAACTATGAGTCAGAATCTACTTTGTGGCATGTAACAGCAACACAGTATCTTTGAAAATGTAACATTGTACATTATATTTAGTTAATGTTTCCTAAACGGTAGGTGATTTCTTTTTTTAAGCCACACCTTCCCCCTTCAAAAAAACACCTGCTTCTCTCAATAAAATACCACAATAGTGGACAGAGCCCTGGTAATTTAGTAGATTATGAGCTGGGCTGCTATCCTCAAGGTCGGTAGTTTGAATTACCAGCTGCTCCTTGGGAGAAAGATGAGGCTTTCTGTTCCCTTAAAGATTTACAGCCTTGGAAACTTCGTACAGAGTTGGTCCTGAGTCGGGACCACTCGGCAGCACAGAATCACCGCCACCACCACGTAGTGCAACCTCATCCCGCACGCTCTTCCAATCTTTACCATCATCTGCTTCCCAAATCCTACTGTTTCACCACTTCTTACAATCCTCTGGCATGTCTCAGTCCAGCTGTTTGTTTGTGTCTGAAATAAATAATTTTAAAATAAAAGCTTATGTTGTCAGTTGTTTATAAATATGCTGGTATTTTTCTGTTATGATTATCTTTTAGTTATAGATTCATAAACATTTCAAACCTGAGCTCAATTATACGTAAAGTCAGCTACTCCAGTCCCCTCATTTTACAAATGAGAAAATTAAATATAAAGGCTTTAAAGTAGTTTTCTTGGAGCCACCCATAATGCAGAACCTGAAAACCAGCATTCAAGTCTTAGGACCTCAGTTCAGGGATCTACCCACAGTGGGAGCGTGTTACAGCCTACATTTGGGGAGAAGTAGTTACATCTGTTTTTGTCTTACCCCACTCATGCTTTTGGAGATCTGTGGGTATTTTCTACACTTAATAGAAGGCAACTTAACAAGATACTACCAACAAAGTTTATGACAATAGCAGTTAGTACAGGAAAAAGGGGTCTTTTAATAAATGATGAAGTTAAATTATGATGTTTATTACATTAATTATAAATAGATGGTAATTAAATGTCAGTTTCCTGGCTACTATATCCTTATATATCTCACTTATTTTAGGCAAAATTGATGATTCAAACCAATTTTTATCCTAAACATTTTCTCATTGTGAGATGGTGGTAGTGATGTGCTATGGAGTTGGTTCTGGCTCATAGCGACTCTGTATAGGGTTTCCGAGGCTGTAGATCTTTATGGGAGCAGAAAGCCCCATCTTTCTCCCACAGAACGGCTGGTAGTTTGAACTGCTGACCTTGAGGTTAGGAAGCCCAACTCTTAACCACTACACTACCAGAGCTCCAAATATAGTATTTGAAAATACTTGAAGGTGCCATATAAATAAGATCTCTGAAATGAAATGACCTTAATAAGTAAGCAATGAATAGGAGTCCTGGTGTGGCGCTGTATGATAAACACTCCACTTACAAGGTCAGTGGTTCAAACTCATTAGCCTCTCCTGGGAAGTCCTATACAGG